CCATTTGTCTGAAGTGGTGTGGGGTTTCCTGCCTAAGCAGGGGGTTGGACTAGAAGACCTCCAAGGTCCCTTCCAACTCTGTTATTCTATTCTATCAGTGCATTTATTCTTTTCAACCACATAGCTCTTCCAACACTCACATATAGGCAGCACACAGCACCAGGCTCACACTGCGTGAACCTTTCAATTATAAAGAAGCTCTCCTATTTTTACAGTACCGGTGACATTTACTATCCACCTGGTGAAATGAAGGGTGCTTGGGATAAAATTGCATCCCATTTCTTCCAAATCTGAGACATCGGCCCCATTGTTTATCAAAACTGCAGACAATGTGCCTCCAAAGAGTTAAAGCCTTACAGATGTCTATGAATCAACTTCTCAAGGGAAGCCACAATAACTGGCAAAACAGCTAGCAATTCACCGGCAACTGTCTGGTACAAACAGTCCAGTGCACAATTTTAACATAAGACTCTTAATATTTTCATCCTTAGCATCTTTGTTGTTGTTTTTTTTACTGAAAAAGTGTGCTGGATAGGTAAACAATGAAAGAAATGCTCCAGCACAAACATGACAACCAAATTGAGACCCTTCCGAAAAATCAAGAGGTGCAAACCTTTTCCAAGTATTTTTTTATGACAAATAAAAATTTCCACGCAGAGTTTTCTATGCACACAAACTAAGTAAATGGCTCTGCACAGTAGGACTTGTGGTGGATTGATATGGGTGTTATCTCCCCAAGACTCCAGTTTCTAATTTATCTAAATTTATTTTCCATGTCAAAGGCTTACTGACTTCCCCATCTATAAAAAGTTTCATGAATGAAGGAATCCTCTGGGGGAAACACACCATCAACATCTGACTTGGAGGAACGGGTTTACTTGAATGGTATTTCCATGTGACTCACATGCAGAGTGACAGTACATTTTAAAGAGACAGCTAACAAAAGCATGATGGGTTCAACTGGTTTAGTATTCGCAGAACTTCAGAGTTCTCTGGCGCAGATGATGAGATACAAGACTCATTAAGTGTAAATAATGTAGATTTTTTTTTTCTACTTGCAGGGCTGGTTTTATTCAAGTGGGATGAACACCGCAGTTCTATTCCTAAGAATATTTTGCATCAGTTTGGACTTTTCAGCACATTTATACTCCTAAGCAATCGACCTACTGAAGCCATGAAGATTTACTTCTGGGTAATCATGTGTGGGTGTTTGTGTTTGTGTTTGTGTGTGTGTGTGTGTGTGTGTGTGTGTGTGTGTGTGTGTG